GCGGAGAAGGCCAATTTTCTTAAGTTCTTCCAGGTGGACTCGGTCTGCCAGACGGTGCATTTCAGGCCAGGCCACCCCTGGCTTCATGCTGCCGAACACCGCCCGGGAGGACCTGTACACGGCCTCGTAGATGGCCTTCTGGTCAGGAGTGAATTTTCCGTTTGCGGGAAAGGTGCAGGTGATGTCTGACCCGTAGCAGTAATACTCTCCTCCCATGTCAAAGAGGCTGCGGGAAAGGGGAAGAAAAGAAAGAAAAGGAAATGCCCATTTGGGTCTGAATTCAAACTGCAGCATGATCACAATACAATATAATATAATACAATACATAGTAGAGTAGAATAGAATAGAGGATGGGAATAGAATCGAATAGAGAATTGGGATAGAATAATAGAGGAATAGAATAGAGAATAGAATAGAATTTAGAATAGAATAGAATAGAATAACAGAGGAATAGAATAGAATAGAATAGAGAATTGGAATAGAATAGAGACTTGGGATAGAATAATAGAGGAATAGAATCGAATAGAGAATTGGGATAGAATAATAGAGGAATAGAATAGAGAATAGAATAGAATTTAGAATAGAATAGATACTTGGGATAGAATAACAGAGGAATAGAATAGAATAGAGAATTGGAATAATAGAGAAATACAATAGAATACAATAAAATAGAACAGAACAGAATTCTTTATTGGCCAAGTGTGATTGGTAACACAAGGAATTTGTCTTTGGTGCAGATGCTCTCAGTGTACATAAAGAAAAATAAAATAGAATACATTCATCAAGAATCTTAAGATACAACACATAGTGATAGTCATGGGTTACTAATAAGCAATCCAATCATACTAGGAAACTAACAGAACAATATAAATTGTGAAAATACAAGCAACATGGTTATAGCCATAAGTGGGAGGAGATAGGTAATAGGAAGGACGAGAAGAAGAATAGTAAGGCTGTTACACAAAATAATACAAAAGTAACACAAAGTTGTATGTGCAGCAAGGCTGCTTATAGATGTCATCAGAACAGACGCCATCGCAAAGGTGAAGCCGGAAGAGAGGACAATGGTCATCTAGTCCAGCCTTCTGCAACCTGCAGAAGTCCACCCTTGGAGGCAAGCCAACTCAAAAGACAGACCCTGGAGGATTTCAGAAATGCAAATTTATTGCAAGATATAACAGCAGACTCTTGAAAACCTGTCAGTTCCTCTCTGCCCTCTTTTTTTTTTAAATGAATCCTACTTTCTTTCTCCTGCTTTCCAGGACTGAACTGCCATTTCTCCTCCTTGAAGGAATTTCCCAAGATCACCTGGGCATTCCTCCACAGCTGGAAAACCAATGAAATATGCGTGAGAGGTGATGGTTTGTTCCTGTTCAATCACCCAAAGATGGAGAACCTCTAACAGTTTCACCGGCTGTGTTTTCACAACATACTTAGCCTGGTTACTGAATTAATCCATTTTTTTGGGATATGGACTATAACTTGCATAATATACTAATCTACAAAAAATAGCTGAATATCTAATGGAGGAGTCCCCAAACTTGGCAACTTTAAGACTTGTGGACTTCAACTCCCAGAATTCTGGGAGTTGAAGTCCACAAGTCTTAAAGTTAGGCTGGCTGGAGAATTTTGGGAGCTGAAGTCCACAAGTCTTAAAGTTGCCAAGTTTGAAGACTTCTGGTCTAATGTTTTGAGAATGCAACTGCTATGCCTTTAATCTAATGAAGAATGTTTTTTGAACTCAGTTGTCCTCTCCTTCATCTCCATAATTTTCATTTCATGATTAGGAGATACGTTACTTAGCGATAGGATTGCTGCAGAATTTAATTTAGTCTCCCAAATCCAAGTTTTACCTGCAGCCTGATTAAAGAAAGGGGAAAAAAACTGGTTCCCTGACCTGATCACCTTGGTGCCATTTCACTGTGCCACCCGAATGTAACTGCCTGCGAGCCAAGTTTAACATTCTTTTGTTTGTTCAAGAAAACATTGCAGACAAATAATAATTCTTTTTTTCTTGGCTGCCGCCTTTCTGACACAATGTCTTACCCAGCCTTGATTACAAAATGCCTGTGATTTGAGTCTCTCGACAGAAACACCAACTGTCTGTTTCTTTGGCCAAGCAGCTCAAGAGCCAAAGCTGTTACTGGTCCCTTAAGAGTCTCTCTTGTAACTCCCCACTCCCCCTCAGGAATCCCTGCCAGTCAAAGAACCATTGTTATTAAACTATTTCAACCAAGAACAGAGATGGAAGGGACCTTGGAGGGCTTCTAGTCCAGCCCCCTGCTCAAGCAGGAGACCCCATATCATTTCAGACACGTGGCTGTCCAATCTCTTTTTAAAAACCTCCAGTCATGGAGCACCCACAGCTTCTGGTGGCAAGCTGTTTCACTGGTTAATTATCCTCACTGTTAGGAAGTTTCTCCTCAATTCCAGGTTGCTTCTTTCCTTGATTAGTTTCCACCCATTGTTTCTCTTGTTCCTGCCTTTTCC